ATTACAGATAAGATAGTGTTATATTGTCTTTTATAATTGTTAAAAGTGATTTTATATTTTAATACACTTAGGCTCATGCTCAGTGTTGTGTAAGCAATATAGGATAATGATAAAAGGTTGTGTTACATTTAATCCTTTACTATTAAAAATGCACTTATACATTATATGATTATAGGAAACACAGATATGCAGTAATAATGATGCAGGGCAGCTTGTAGGTGAAGCAGCTGCCCTTCAGTGCTTCAGGTGATCTCTAAATAAACCAGGTGATACTAAAATATTTCCTCTTGATGAGTTCTGGATGAAGAATTTTGACAGACAAAAACATTTTTTTTAATCTTATATATTATATATATATGTTGTATTTTTAAAATTTTGGTATAATTACTGATCTAAGTGGGTTGCTCTGTCGGAGAAAGGCATATTTTACATTTTTATTATGTTTTAGAGTCTCTATTCTACCGTTAATGATGAATCACTCACTAAATTAGTTGACGATTATTGAAATAATCAATTAATATGATTCATTTTTTCAGTCCCAGATAAAATAGATGAAATGTTCTACACAGAGTAACTACAGCCCAGATGTTCAACTTTTATAGTGAAGTTAGTATTTTAATGAATGTATTATTTTGCTTGATACAGAGAGAGAATAGTAGGTACAAATATAACAGTGGGGTTTAACTCTGCACAATTCTATATCTTCAGAAGAAAATACTGTATTTACCTTCTCTCTTAGTCACTCAAATTAAACCATTTTCAAAGTGGAAAACAGTCCTAATTCCACATTGATCAGAGCCGGTGATACTTCAAACACTGATAAACAGCATCTAATGAATGTAGAGCTTATAAAGTTTTATTAATGTAGCAAAATGATGCTTTTCTCTTTTAACAATGAATTCCTCTTATCAGTACGGATGCTCACATCGAACATAAAAAAGGGCAAGCATATTGCATAGCACCAATGACAACCGACTGATAGTGTCCCTACCAAAGTTCAAATCAAACCTACGCCCTTGGTTTCCAGGCT